CTTCAAAGTGTAATGAACAGTAGAGGAGTAGGAGTAGTAGTAGTAGTAGTAGTAGTAGTGGTAGTAGTAGTGGTAGTAGTGGTAGTAGTGGTAGTAGTGGTAGTAGTGGTAGTAGTGGTAGTAGTCGTCGTAGTAGTAGTAGTAGTAGTAGTAGGGGGAGGAGCAGCAGCAGCAGTAGTGGGAGGAGGAGGAGGGCGTATGTAGCAGCGACATTGGCGGCAGTACGAGCAGCAGCAGCAGCAGCAGCAGCAGCAGCAGTTGAAGCAGTTGAAGCAGTTCGTGCGTGGTAGTAGTCATCATCGTAGCAGGGGTTGCAGCATCTAGCCTTCAAGCGTGGTTGTGGAGTCAGGTCGATGGGCCCTTTTGATGGTTGGCTCAGCGGAGGAGCGCAGCCGAGGCCGGCGATTTACGTGGATGTTTGAAGTATTGCGAGTCAGCCTTGTTGTCCAAGAACTTTGTTTTTCTTGTGATACTTGTGGGGTGCCTCTCCCAAGCGGCAGCAAAGCTACAACATGGGTATGGGCGGGAAGCCGTCTCGAAGAACTCAAGCATCTGCGATATCTAAAGCGCGACCACACCTTAGAGAGGTGCCCACCAGCCCAGGCAAAGATTACTTGGAATGGCTGGCATCCGAGGAGTCGCTGGGCAAAGAGACGTCTTAATTACCAATTCCGATCCTTGAGTTTCGTGCGCTTGGAAGAAGGTCCCAAGTGCCTTGCCCGCTAGCATATTTGCCATTGGCTTTCCGTTGCCCTAGGCGTGAGCGCAGTCAGGCAGCTCCAGCAACAACGAGTTCGGCGATCGGGCAGGCGCTGTCAAGCCCTTCGTGCACGGGATTGGTTTGTGGTGGAAGACTTATGAGAAGTACTAGTACTAGTACTAGTACTAGTACTAGTACCACTAGTAGTAGTACTAGCAGTGGCAGGAGCAGGAGCAGGAATAGTGTAGTAGCAGTAGGTGCAGTAGCTGAGTAGCAGTAGTTCAGTAGTACTAAGTAGGAGTAGCAGTTGCAGCAGTCATATTTAGTAGTAGCTAAGACGAAGCCGCTGGGCCAGGATGCCGTGCGCTGGACCGACAGCGACGGGGACCAGTTGCTTCTGCGATTGGGCGAGCGGCGATGGCTTCTTCGCTGAAGCTACTGTTGTGTCTCAGAGTTTGGGGCTTGGGTTTTGTGGGGTCTGGTAGAGTCTGAGTTCAGGATTGAGGTTTTTGTCTGTTGCGTTTTTTTGCGTTTCAGGGTTGCAGATTCGCGCTTCCAGACTGTTGATAGATGCTGAGAGCTGCAAGTTCGTGTAGAGCAAGAGGGTGCCTGCCTAGATGGGGAGCAAGCACCTGTGCCCACGCCCCGCTCAGCCTGGACTTCTTCATGAACGGTGTGTGCAAGGTGGGCGGGACATGAACTGAGACCGAACGAGACGCGGGAGATGAGTGTCTGAAAGGGAATTCTGTGTATCAAGCCGGACAAAGCTAAACCCGGACCCAACCTTCGATATCACAGGTCCGAGACATCACCATCCTTGCCGCTGAGGGCGACACCCTGCGCCTGCTGCACCGGCGGTGGTTTGTCTTTTTTCCGCCCAATTCAGGAGATCCAACCTCTGGCCAGGCGTGGCACGGGTGCTGACGGTGCGACCACACGTTGTGTGGAGCGGCCGGTCGATGAGGAGGCGGGGGGTATGCGGGGTTTTCGCAAGCTGAGTGGGAAGTGGTGATCGGAGTTGGAGGGAACGTTCAGGCAGCGAGCCATGCAGTGACATTGTTCGACCGCAGCGTGCGGGCCCGCTCAAGCTCGGGCGCCCAGCGAAGTCGGGCGCCCAGCTGGGAACTGTCAAAGTTCGGATGTGGGTCTTTGGAAGCTGCGAGGTGACGTCGACGTCGTCGAGACGACGTGCTCCCAAGCAGCTCCTAGGCAGAAGGGAGGAACTCCTGTGAGCCGGAGCTTCCTTGAGCAAGGCTGTGAGTGCGTTTGAGGTCTGGTTAGAACCAGTCGAGCTGCGAGTGCAGACCTGAGGGGCATCGCCACCAGCTTGCTTTCCCAAGCTACGCTATCTTCGACAGGGTGTAGGCATAGAAATGCCAAGTGGCTGCTCCCCGAGACTCTGGAGAAGAAGACCAAGACGATTGTTGCTGGCTTAGTGCTGCTGTGAGACAAAGCAGAACGGGAAGCCCTGGGACCTGCCAGCAGCATCTGCTTCAAAGCTGGCAAAAACTGCTGCTGAGGTGGTTATGCCAGAGGGTTGTGGCAGCAACAGTGACTGGCGGCCAGATGCACAGTGCTCAGCTTTCCAGCAGCCAGGCTTCGACGGAGGCCCGGTTGATGAAGAGCCGACTTCCGCGGGTCCTCGGGCGGGCCATTCTGTCTAGCACCGAGGCGGCGTGCAAGATCCTGGTCTGCTCAGCCAGCTTGGGATTTTTTTGAATTTGTCACGAGATGCCGTGAGCCTGTCTATGAACGCTTGGGATCTTTGGCATGGCTGAGAAGCTTCGCGTCTCTTGACAGGTCTGCGGCAGAGACCCTGCAGGCCGAGTCGACGCCGTGGCCAAGCTGCGGGATCTGGCTCTGGGCTGAGCGAACGGTACGAGGACGAGTTCGAGTCCAGGGCCAATGTAGAGTGGTAGCGTTTAAGAGACCTTGGTTTAGCAACACCCTGCTCCAATTAAAATAACCCGAAGCAATTCTGTCTCCCTGGATGCCCTAAAGCCGTCAACGCTGCGCATCGTCGCCAGGATAGTGTCATGTTGTTGGACAGCGGGGTGTTCAAAGTCGATTAAATCGAGTCGCTGCCGCCAGGAAGAAAACGAAGCTGAGCCTAACGGTTTGGCGTGGTAGTCAGCTGTTGACCTAGAATCAGGCTTGCCCACTCATGCATGACACGATGCGGCTTCTTCCTTCGGAGATACATTGAATGAATGGAGTTGTTGACCGCCCGGCCTCAGGTACAAGCCGCCAAAGCTCACCAAAGCAGTGAAGCGGAGGCACGGCTTACGCGATTATCAAAGCCTCAACACTAGTCGCTCACTGCATTGACAACAGCAGGAGCGTGCATGGGAGTCTGCCGATGTGGAAGGCTGCCGAAGAGCCTGATCCCGGGAAAGACACGGCGTTCTCCGAGGCCAGAGTCCGTTTGTGTGTCGAATCTTACACCTCTCCTCCTTGTAGATGCCGTCAGGATCCGTCAAAAAAGCAAGCTCCATCGGAGCCGGCTCCGGATCTGCGGCAGGTAGCCATCGTCGCCGGAAATCAAGTCCTGTCGTGACACATCGGTCTTGCAGGTGCCGGCAGAGACTCCGCCCCAGATGCCAGAGAATCCAGAAGGCTGACACTCTGCAGGTAGCACAGGCTGTGCTTTGCGAATTGCAAGCAGCCCCAAGCCAAGCAGAATAGTGTGCATTGCCGAATGCCACGCTTGGCTCAGCTTTAGCTCTACAAGGCAAGAAATATCGGTAGGTCCTCGGATCGCCGCAAGCTCTACCCCTTCATATCTTTCACATTCTCATCATGGCCACCAGCCCGCAGAGCATAAGTCAGCTTCTGGAGGCGTTCTGTCGACTTGCTTTGAAGCCTCAAAAGCAGCACTGGTTTCAATGCTGTGGTTGATGTGGGAGCCGAGGTGCTTTTGGGCTTGGTCTCCCTGGCTCTGCTGGGTTTTGTGGATGCAGGCGCCAACATCCGTGGCAACCATCAGCTCGTGCTGGAGGAGATAAAGCAGTCGCTTCAGGCGGAGGGTTTGCACGCAACTTCTGTCCAAGAGCTGCCACGCTTCACGATCCCAGTCCGGTAAGCCATCTCTGCAGGAGTCCATGCAGGAGGTGCTGCGGGGCGGGTCGGGGTCGAAGCTCGAGAAGATCGAGAAGAGCATCTGGCAGACCTACCAGTCGCTGCCGAAGAACGAGTTCGGCCATATTGGCCCTCGCGCAGTTCGATATCTGGTGCACAACTACTTCGCCAAGGAACATGGGTGGCTCATCAAGGGATTAGAGCCGCACGGCCACCAGGCCGACATGTCACAGGTCCACGAGGTCAACATTCTGCAGGACAAGGCCCCAGCGCTCGTGGAGTCCTTGTTGGAGGCCCAGAGAAAGGGCCGTGGCCTCGACCTCGCCGACGCCGTGGCCATGTTGGCCACCCTGGAGTGCCTCATCTTCGACGAGGCTATCAAGCTTCTACAGGCTTCTTACAACTTGAATGCCCTTCCAATGGAGACCCCCATCGACGAAGTTTGCATTCATGATGTCTTGACATCATACTTGATTCTTTTCGAGATGGGTGAACGAGCCGTTCTTCAGAATCCCGAGTTGCATCACGCTTTGAAGGTACGTGCTTCAGAGGTTGGAGGGAACTGGCCACTCCTCGTGGAGTTTGAGGAGGATGCAGTGTCCAATTTCAAGTTCACCAACAAAGACATCCGGAATCCGTCTCTGACCTCGCCTACATTTTCCTTCGAGGATGCAGTGGATATCGTAGAAGGGCTTACAGGAGACTATGGCAAATGGCAGAACCTGGAGTGTCAGCAGATGAAGAGCGAGCTCATGGAACTGGACGTGCAAGGCAGGAAACGGTGCTTGAGGGATGGATGGCATCACTCACGTGTCACGCATGGTCCGGCGGTCATTTCCCTGAACTCTCAAAAATGGGAGGTACGATGATGCCACACAAAGTGCCGGAACCAGCAAGTCATAATGACACTGAATGCTGCTTCAATTTCTGGGCGGGAATTTCGGCCGTGTGAAGGCATCCGAGAATTGCCTTCAGTTATGGGAATACCAGTTTTCAGATTCACCAAGGGGCGAGATGGTCAAGCAACAGTAAAGACGTGACATCAACGCGGTTTAAACTTACAGCTAAATTCAAGCCATGTAGAGTCATGGGCTAATGCTCGCATACAGAGCAAGGATGCGCTGCTTCTGACCAGTCTGAGCCCACGGATTTGTGCTTCATTGAACAAGGATGCAGAACCCTGCCCAAGCACTCGCGCCCGGTCCTCAACGATGTCTGTCTTGACAAGACTTTGGTCACCTGTTTTGAAACTGTGTCAAATGGCTAGCCGCCGGCAGCCGCAGCTCGGCAGCAAAGGCTTAAGGAACGGTGCAAGGGCGACGACCCTCGAGACGGGAGCTGAGACGAGACACGCAAAAAAGGCCCAACGCACGAGAAAACGTAGGCGGTATAATGGCGTGTGATCACAGACGAGCCGGAAAAAAGGCAACGCAGGCCACAGGTATCTTCAGCCGGGAAGACCGTAAGATCTACCCTAAACTCTTGCAGTGTCGGACGCGGAGACTGGTCTGGCTTTTGAGAGGCAAAGAGGTACTTGTAGCATCCATGATGTCGGGAGATTCTGCGATCTGTTTTTGGGCTTCAGGCAATGGCCTGGTGCCCTTGGGTC